TGTTTTGACAAATAGCAAAAATAGCATAATGCAAGCAAATTACATTTAGTATAAAAATAAATAATTAGCATAGATTGAAAATTAAAATGAATACAAAATTAAAAGGAATGGGAAAAATGTTGAAAATTTCAAAATAAAACACAGAAATTTTTCTTTTTTTTTCAATTTTCATATTTATGAAATTTTTAAATATTTAATAACACATAATTATTAACATATGATTGCAATATTCGTTGGAATTTCCAATTAAGGTTCACAATAGTTCGCTTATTGCATTGGTAACACTTTTTTTTTACTGGCCGATGTGTCTGGCCAGTATACCTATACTGGCCGAGGTAGAGAAAATAGTGTTGTTGTTTTGCGTACATTTCGGCCAGTGTAGGCCAGCAGCTTGCTGTTTTTTGCCATACTTGCGTACTAATCGATCATATTTTTTCGCGAGAAGCAATAATTTTTGCTCTGGAATAAATTTATTATCTACACAACAAAATTGAAGCTTTATACGAACGCAGTCTTACATGTATATTCAGATCGTATTTTTGGTCTAAAAACCATGGAAATGGATTTTTGAAAGACAAAAATTTTTGAGTAGAAACATAAAAAGGATTCTCTTTTCATCTTACTCAAGGATTTTGAATTCACACATAAAATAAACATATTTACAATAATTGTAACTTAAGAGTATTAAACAGATTCCTAAAACGGTCGGGTATACGTCCCGGAGCCACTCCTCAATCACGACAACCAAGACCCGTTCCCCATCCTCTAGAGTTATTTTACAAACAGATTCCCGCGGGTTACAACAACAACAATAGGGTTAAGCAGCTAATAACATTAGGTCGTTCCGGCGTATAACATGCTCCACCTTCATAAGTTGTTCTGAAACTTCAATACTTTACAAACTTCTTAAGTTAATTTTTTTAATTTATTCTCTTTAGCATAACAGTGGCAATATTAAAATGTATGACATAAAATGTAAAACCTCATTCAGGTGACATAATTTAAATGTTTATATATATATATGTATATATCAGTTCTTTATTTGGATATTTTACTGCCAACTGCAGCAATAAATATGTAGTGTGAATGCAATTAAAACTTGTTAGTGTTAGAAGTCTTAAGATTGTAGTCTACAGCATGTACTAAACATGTTAAATATAATATGATAAAATAACAAATATATAACACTATATATAAAAATGAATTATTAACTTATTAGATGAGCTCGTGAAAATACTTCACTCGTCATACTAATTTCACCACTACGGTAATATATATGTTTCCACACTTAACCTCTATTTAGCAATGATAATAAATATTTATTGAAAGAACAAGAAATTATTTATAGTCATAAATTAATATTATATTAGTAATATAATAATAAATATGTAATAAAATTAATTATTTAATTGTATCAAATATTAATTGTATGAAACGCAAATAATTTTTACTGCAACTTTTAAATATCGTGATGTGTACAACGTGTTATATACTCAGAAACAACGAGAAGAAAAACTATGAATCTTATCGATATAAAAAAATTAAAATATTTAATGAAATTAATACTAATAGTAATGTCTCCATGTAATTGCGTATCTTAGGTCGTGGCGCTGCAATGATAATCGAGTCCTTGTTGCTGTTCTACCACATAAATTGCTTTAAATGCTGTGTGTGCCATGTCCAACTTGGTGATGGTCTCAATGGTACCGATGTACGAGTGCGCAATCATAAACTACACTGCCAAAACTGTTATTCCAGTGACGATGGTATAAAATTTAGCTGCGTTTAAAAAATATTTAATACCTTTAATATATGGATAAAAAAACAATATTGAGCTAAGCTCACACTTGCTGAAATGGATTTTATCAAACAATCGAAGTCGTCTAAATAGTTGTTGCAATTTTAGGTTTCTTTTATTTTTTAGATATTGACATACATTATATAAATATTCAAACAGTTTTTAAAGAGTTTATAGGCGCTTATCATATCAAAATTTTATAGCTAAAAATTCGTTTTTAAAATCGTAAAATTTTAGATATTAACGCTTAAAATTTTTTTAAATTATTTTATTCGATATAAATAAGCTCTCTATTTTTGAGCAAAAATTCTAAAAAAATATTTACAATTTATATTTATTAAATTGGTTTTTACAAAAATAAAATCGAAAAAAAAAATCAGAAAATATATTTATTCAAAACGTTAGTCTTTTTTCAAAATATTGTTAAAGCTTAATGTATTTGAAATAAAAACAATAAATGTTAAATTTATTTTAAAATTCTATATACAGATTTAAAAAATTTAATAATATATATTGTATGTTTGTTTGGTGAAAGAAATGATAAAAAAATTTATACACATTACTTGTATTTACCATATTTTACATATATATAAATAATTTACATACATAAAACTCTGTCAATTTAATGAATTTAAATATAAAAATATTTTAATATTTAACAATTTATTTTATAAAATTAATATTTTATCATTTTAATTTTTAAATTGTAATATTTAATACTTTTGTAAATTATTTTTAAAAATTTATATATTTGCCTATTATATATATATATTTTATATTAATTTTTTTAGTCTTTATGTAAAAGAAATATTAAATATATATTGTATTGAATTTTTAAATAATGTATTTGTTGTAGTTGTATTATATAATATTATAAATTTTTATATTTAAATTATTTATAAATTGCATGCTAAATTAATTCAATTGTATTAAATATATAAAATTTTAATTTGTATTAAAATTAAAATTAATAAAAGTATAACAAATCAAAATACCCACGAACCTAACCAGAACCTTATGTACCTTTGTCATTATGATACAATATAAATATATATAAATAATATATAACGAGTATGAAATTGTATAAAAGTCAAGAAAATATATTTCAATAATTTTATTATATATATTATGATTCTTTTTTGTAATATTATAACTATTTTAACTTCATTTCATTTTAATACTTTTAAAATTGTGTATAAAGACAAGTTTTTATTATTATTAACATATATAAAAATATCTATACATAAATATATAATATACCTAAGTATATATGTATATACTTATGTATATAAGTATATATATATACTTATATATCTAAGTATATATATATATATGTTAACACCACATCTTTATATATTATGTATTATGTATATATAATATATAACTTTATATATATTGAAAAAAATATCAATATTAAATTCTCTAACTGATTAAATAAATTACGCTGAAAATTTTTAATTGAAATTGAAAATAACTTGTTTTATATTAAAGTTTATAATTATCAGAAAGGTTTCAGGAACCACTTATCTGTACAAATATACTTCCCATTGTAATACGACAAAAATATGAAGTTGTAAAATAAAAGGTAAAAAAAAACTATGCGAAACAACTAAAAGCGTTGCATAATTTTAGGATGTATAATAATCAATATTTAAGATAAAGATCATGCACGAAAGTATGCTACATAAAATTCATGTTAAACTTAAGACTACCTTTGCAATGTAGGCAGCCTAAAAGTATCCTCTTTATTAGGAACATCTAAATCAGCTATAAAGTCACTGGAAGATACGTTTTACAAATAAAAGCTCAGTTTTCTTTTAAAACATTTATTATGAGTTTATTTATTTTGTTCAAATAACAAATATTTTATAATTTTTGTTTATTTTGTTTAAAAATTCACATCACTTTTTTTGACTACGAATACATGAAAATTTGTGCGTATTTATGATAGAAATACGCTTAATTAAATTTTAGGAAAACGAAAAAAATTGTGTTCTTAAATGTCATATAATTTACAAATTGGTTTTTTTATAATTTTAACTAAAACTTAAAATTAAAACTAAAACAATTAAGAAAAGAGGTCAGCATAATAAAGCAAAATAGTTTTTTAGTTTTTACTCTGCATATATTATGTTGTTTGTCAATGTTATTTTACCAAACTTCACATTTGTGCACTGGATTCATAGGTGATCCTTCTGGACATTGAAAATCTTTTGCAAAATCTTTCATGTTGCTTAGCGAACCTAAAACTCTGAACTCCGATGGGGAATGAACGCCAGTTGTAATACGCATTTTTAACGTTTCTAAAATGTCAACAAAATAATAGATTAAAATAAAGGAGAATATAAACACAATTCAAATACACTATATATTGAAACGAATTTTTATAAATATTTATTTTGTTAGCTTATAACCATAATCACAGGGATGGGCTAAGACTTGGTGGCTGCTTCCGTTATATATGAATCAGATTAAGTTAATATGGCTGGTCGTAAGCCAAGCATAAACTTATTAATTCCTAGCAATATTAGATACAGTTAGGATCTAGTTATAAACCATTTAGTTAATTTTGTAGAAGGAATGTTCGAAGTTGTATTCCTGAAACTCAGCCACCAAGTATTTTATAAATATTCTTTTTTTGAGACCAAACTTTAATCTTTTAGATTTCAGAGTCCACATTTCAACCCAAACCATATGTGTCACGCGCTCCCAAAGAGTCTTCTACATTGAAGAAAGCATAAAATGGTCTTTAAGAAGTCCACAATTGACGAATGACTTAAAAATAAATTCCTAGCCTATTTAAAATATCTTACACATATGTTGGTCAATAACAAAGCAGATATAAACCATCAGCTAATCAATTATTGGACTATCCTTACTGGGTATACAAACCGCGATCACTACATATTCGCACATATTGTTGAACTTTTTTATTGTGCCTTACTCTATTCTATACAGAATGATATCAGAAATTGTTTGCATGATACTAGGGTTGTGCTCGATTTGTTCACCTAATCTGTATATAACCAGACTTTAGCTCATCTGCGTTGTAATTGCTTGCGATATCTCTTACGACTAAGAACTGAAAGAAGGGAAATGACTAAATATCGTTCAGAGATACGTAATAGATCTAACAAAACCAAATCTGGAGCTTGACTTATTAACAATTTAACTCATACGTATCATTCTCAAAAGAAAGCTATAGTTTTCCAATAGAAAACTATAATACCATAGTGTTTGTATAAATTGAGTTTCTTACAATAACTACATTATATATCCCATTACCTAGATCGCTTGACCGTTTTCCGATAGTCAGGAATGATTGGATGGAAAATTTTTTATTTTACTAAAAAATATTTAATTTTTTAAACAACTTTATAGTATTTAAGGCCAGGAAACACGATTTGTTAAGAAATACATAACTAAATATAAACAGTAATTTTTCGCAAAAGAACCCACCTTTACGGTATTTCGCGCACCAGGTTTGACCAGCTGATATCCAAAACATTTGTTCTGGTGTGTAATCTAATCCTGGTAATAATGGTTCCGGACCATTCTTCTCTGCCCATTGTCTATAAGCAATGTACGATTCCTTAACACCTCCATTATCTGCAATGTTTTCACCTTGTGTATTAATGCCATTCAGCTGTAAAGTGAAATATTGTTTAATATCACGTCAAAATTGAAAATTCTAGGCCTTATTGAGCGTTTATTTAACACAACATTTATTTATGTATATAGTTAACTTACATTTAAGCCTGTTATATGTTCAGTATAGTTGCCATATTGTTCGATAATACATCTAGCTTTGTCTAAATAAGCTTTTTGTGTATCAGGTTGCCACCAGTCGACCAAATTGCCATCAACATCGAATTGACGTCCTTGATCATCAAAACCATGTGTAATTTCGTGTCCAATAACATAACCAATGGCACCATAATTCATGTATTTAGGTCTGTGTGCATTGAAGAAGTGACCTTGCAAGATACCGGCAGGGAATTCTGTTGTGAAAATAAAAATGAAATAATTTAAAAATAATAATAGAATTAATACTATTACACTTACGTATGCTGTTTTCAATTGAGGAATAAAATGCGTTCACAATAGCAGGTCTAGCATGACGTACCCAATCAGTTTTATTAACTGGCAAACGCAGTTTATTGAAGGAATAATCAGTACCGAATACATTCATTTTAAGGAATGATTCAAAATACTTATTTGGATCAATATCTAATTTTTCATAATATTTAGAAAGTTTTTCTTCATCTAACATTTCATCCGGATAACCAATATGTGTAGCCATTGAGTGCAACTTCTTTTTAGCTTCTTTCTTAGTCATATTATCCATCCAGTCAACTTGCTCAAGTAGATTGTTGAAAATTCCGCGTATATTATCAACCATTTCAAGAGCAATGGCCTTTGAATCCTGTTTGAAATGTTTGCGCACATAAAGCGAACCCACCGAAATCGCTAAGCTGTGAGTTTAACGGTGGAGTTGAGTGTGGTGAGTTCAAATTTAACGAGTAAATGAATTTAACGAGCGAATAAATGAAATTACATAAAATAAAATAATCATAAATATTAAATGGATTAAAAATGCATTTACGTTTAATTAATTGTTTTAAAATGTTTAAAATGTTTTAAATGTTGAGCAATAAAAAAAAAACAACAACAACGACAAAATGTGCTTGAAGCAACGTGGTGAAATATTGTGAAACCATTGATTTAATGTGTTGACAATCGTGCGATACACTGAGATTTATATTTTTTCATACCATAATGTTTATGAACTTTTGTGAAATGTTGATATAACCTTGCTATATTATGGATTTTATCTTTAATGGATATGTGTAAAAAAATTTTAGACGTGATATATGAATTTTTTAAAAAGATCTTGAAACACCAATCAAAAGAATTTTTATTTAAGTCAATTCCTTAATATCATTATTTTCTTTTTTCTTATTATTTTTAAACTGATCGATCAACAAATTAATCTAAAGATCCTACATAGTTTAAAACTAATTATTTAGATATAAATATAAGCTTGTTAGTAACAAGGAACGTTCGGATGTACGTTCGTGGGTCCTAAGGACCGTGCATATTTCGCATTGAAATTTATCTGTTTTGTCAAATCAACTAGGATTCATGAGAACTAATAATAATTATAACTGGCTTGCAATAATAACAACCAGTTCTTCTAGTAACTCAAATAGAACTTTTCATAATTGTTTTTTAACAAATTAAATCAAAAAGTATTTTCAATAATATTGGAAACAGTTTGGAAAGTTCTAAATATTAGTTTTTAAAAGAAAAAAAAACAAGTACTATAATATCATAGAGCAATCAACAATTATGTCAATTAAAATAGAGAATGTAATATAGAATGCAAGAAAATCACAAATAAATAATTGTAAGGTGTTTTGGATAATCGTTGAAAAACGTTGAAACGATCCATAAATCGTAAGAGAGTTCTAAGTTAAAATAATTTAAAGGATTAAAAGAAAAAATTAAAAACTAAAATTATGAAATATTATTTAATTCTACAGAGTACAAAAATCCAAGTTATAATAATTGAAAGAATTAAAAGAAAAGGATTAAAAACTAAAATCATAAAATTTTATTTAATAAAATTAATTTTTATAATTGTGGTTTTTATTTAATAATATTGCTTTCAACAAAATGGGATTAAAAGAAACATTCAGTGAAAGACGTTTTAGAAAAAGTACTCTAATGAGAAATATAAGGAAAACATAAGGATAAAAAGTCATGAACAAACTAATGAACAGTTATCAAATAACAGTTAATGAAACACCAGAACAGCGGAAGAAGTTGTCATTGAAAAAACAGTACACATGGAAAATTAACACATGTAAGTAATGTAGAACGCATGTAAGAGAGAAAAAATCAACAAATGATGAGTTGATTGAACATTTGGTAATCAGACTTTTATTTAAACTAGAAGAATTAAGTCTTTTTAAACTATATATGTAGATCCAATTCAATTGACAACCATAAACATATGACAACCTGCTAAAATGTTGAATCTGGTAAGTGCAAATATAATTGCTGGTTTCATTAGTAACTAAATAATATAGTTTATTCAAAGACAATAATGCTTTACTTAATATCGCATTATTGTTGAAGATGGATATCATAAAATCAGTAGGATAGTAATAAAAATATTGAGATATTTTAAATGTTTTAACGCAAATATTAAAGTGCTATGCTTATAAAACTTCACTTAGAACTAAGGTAGCTCAAGTTTTCATGGCATTTGCGGATAGAAAAATTTTAAGTTTTCTTTATTAAATTTTTAGTAAGAGATCAACTCTTACTCCATTCGAGCGCTACCAATCGCGTATATTGGCAAGTTTGAGTAAATGTTAGGTAAGTAGGTTGTGGTTCCATCTCGACTTAATGATCAACTTAATGATCAACATCAACTTTATGGAAAATTAGCAAAAATGTAATTTAAAACACATATCTATACCGATTCGAGAAAACATTTGCTTACTTCGATAAAGTAAAGTAAGCTTTATATTATAAACTTTATATTACAAGTTATTAAGATATTTTAGAAATAATTATACTAAAAAAACTATTTTTATGAATAGAGTCCAGGGTAATAAAATTTAATTCAAATAATATACATATGTTTTTTACGTCGGTTAACAATATCACATAAGCCATAAGATATATATTTTCAATACCCTACAAAAGGAAATCCAGACAGTAGCTATTAGCTTAAGTCATTATATATATTATTTTTTCTAATTTCACGATAAATCGCTTTTCACGATAAATTTTACAAAACTATGAACATTTCGATTATAT